TGTAAGTGCTGTATACATGTTTCGCTTCCTGCAATCTGTTGCATCCAGAGGATCAAGGCTGATGTCAATTGTAACGCAATAAAAATCAATAAACTAGCATGGATAAAATTTTCAATTGAAGCTACTGTGCATTTATTGATGCCTGTAAATGTGTTCTTATGATTGAATTGGACATTAAATCGGCTTGAGGTTTTGTCCGCTCCTAAATGTAGTCTTTTATGTCGAGTTATTGTCAATGTAGTTCTAAAAAGCTAGTCAAGTTTATGATGAACTCTGATTTTCCGAACTTGTTAATATATTTTAAGTAGTATATGTATGTGTGATGTTAATTTACTGGTTGTTTAAAAGTGAAAGTAGTAATATTTATTCATATATTACTCATAACGGGCCATGACAAAATTGCTCCGTTTGATTAGTTCTTATAATGATCATTAGCATTTATCAATAACATCTAAATATGCCGACAGTGCTATAAACATGTTAGTCTTAGCTTATACTCCCTATATAAGTTTCATATAGCTAATTTGCAGGTAACGAACAATTAGTTAAAAAAGTAATAAATGTGTTCAAAATATAATTTTATTTCAATATGCTCTTATAATAAATAAGAAAAAGAATTAAAAAAAAAGTATGGGAAAATATGATAAGAGATATTGTGACAAAAGAAAGAAAAGAAATATTAAGGAAAAATTAGAAAAAATGTATTAAATGTTAGATAAACCCAAAGAGCTTATTCATATGTTATTTATAGGCCTTATTTTCTTTTACCACAAGAGTTGATTAAGTTGGTAAGGAGTCGGTTTATAACTCATAAAATCATGAGTTTAAATCTTACTATTGATATGAGGATCTTGTTGTAAACAATCTGTAAATACTTCTATAAGCACTTTTAAGCTTCAAACATGTACTGGTCTAGTAAGCTTCGGAACTTAACTCACTCAAATTTTTTTGGCTGGTAGCTAGCGCCCCCATTCCGTTTCCGCATTTCCTTAGTATCAAAGCCTTGGGGGGTGATAATAATTTTAATCATTCAAAAGAAAAGAAAAAAAAACAGAGATAAAGGGCACCTGAATTTTGCCCACATAAGAATATAATTTGAAGAACCGCTATATAACTATTCATGATGCTATACATGGCACCATACTATCAATGAATAATGACATTCATTCTCCTTTTTATATGTGTGTGTATCTGTTGTACATCCATGTTTTTCAGCTCAGAAAAAAAAAGATTGTTACTATGATCAGCAGCCTGCTCATGATTTTCAGAACAAGACACGTTTATTGGGACGTGACCTCGCTCTTCTGCGCGTTTCTTTTCTTTTGGTTCCCAATTAGAGGCCGAAGTTTGATGGTTTGGGCCCAAAAATGAATTGGGTTTGTGGGATTCAATGGGCTAGTCCAGTCATGTGCCTGTATTCTTGTCCTAGCCCTGGTAGGGGTGGAAACAGGCCAGGCGACCTGTCAGGGGCCTATGTGATGCCTGGTTGTATTTGGCCTGCCTGGCTGGCATGTTTCCAAAAAAGACAGGCTCAGGCCTGTTGAAGGCCTGTTTAGTTAAATAGGCCAGGCTTAGCTTTAAAAAGCCTGTTAAGCCTGTTAGGCGGCCTGGGCCTGTTAGGAATTTATAAAATAATATATGAAAAAATTAATTAATGCTATTATTGTTAATGTGCTCTTTTAATTTATTTTTAATTTTAATATATAGTTTAATAGCTTAATCTTTTCTTAGATTTTGAAGTTTAGATGACAAGTGAAGATAAAAATATAATTTAAAATAATAATATCAATAAATATGTGATTTTTAAATCTTAAAAATATAAAGAAAATAGGAAAGAAAAATTTTGTCCAAGAATGATAAATCTAACTTACGTATTATGTTAATTTAAGTATGATACCCTTTTATTCATTATAAAATTAGTATTTTTCCTCTTTATTTATTTGTCTTAATTTTAATTTTTGTGTGTACTTAAACGTAGTCTTATTCCAAATTTAACATATAATTACAATTAGTTTTCAATAATATTCTTATAAATTATAATTAAGATAAAATAGTACTTATGATACTAAATTTAAATAAAAGACAAGACTAAAAATTTAATTATTATGTGTGTTTTTTTGTAATCTTAGCTTTTTTTAAAAAAAAATAAATTATAATTTGATTTTTTAAAAAAAACAAGCCTTTTAACAGCCTTCAGGTCAGGCCAGGCCTTTATACAGGCTAGGCTCAGGCTGAAAATAAGCCTGTAACAGGCCACAGGCCAGGCTCAGGCCAATAGGCTCCAAAAAAGGCTGGCCTGGGGTTAAGAGCAAAGCCTGGTCTGGCCTGTACTGTTCCACCTTACTGGCAGCCCCGTTTAAACTAGGATCAGGATCCTCTGAAAATCGGGACTCTAAAATGGGCTCGCTGGAGACACCCTCAAGCACGGAAAACGGGACTGCACCTGTCGCCGGCGGCGGCAAAACTCCCGCTGCCGATGAGGTACCCTTGCAGCCCACGGGGGACGTCGAAATGGCGTCGGAGAAGCCGATGGAATCCGATCCGTCGAAGAGGCGTAGGATGGGTTTACTTCCCCTGGAGGTTGGTACTAGGGTCTTGTGCCGATGGAGGGACGGAAAGTTTCACCCTGTAAAGGTCATTGAACGCCGCAAGATGCCAACCGGTGACCCCAATGATTATGAGTACTACGTCCATTACACTGAATGTAAGACCTTCAGTTTATCGGAGCCTTGATGTCGCCCGACTTTGAATGGTTAGGGTTTTCGTTATGGGGTGGCTGAGCGAGTCGGTTCAGGTTTTGAAGTTATGAAAACGGGTTCCGTAGCATAATAGTTACTTGATTGATATCTGTGAACTTGATGCTTGGTATACCTGTTTCATAATAGTTTTCTGATTATCACTTCATGTCAACAGTTTTGAGCCTACTATCTTCTTGTCATTTCGTATCTGTTTGCCTTTGGTAGAAGTTCTAATTAATTGCAATTGTGAGCTATCGTATTAGTCTCTGATTTTTTTAGCTTTCTCTTATTGACAGTTAATAGGAGGCTTGACGAGTGGGTGAAGCTAGAACAACTTGACCTTGATTCAGTGGAGGCTGTTGTTGATGAGAAAGTGGAGGATAAGGTAATAGTTATATTTTGGCCAAATAGCTCTGCTTTTCCAAATCCCGCGGTTTGGTAGAATTTGCATATGGAACTTGGGGTATTTTTATTGAAATTTACTTATTCTATGAAAACAAATTATTCCCTTTCCTTGCTTTCAAGTTTGGGTAGATATGGTTAGCAAGAACTATTCCTCCATTTATTGGTAGCTTGGAATGATTTATACGTACCTGCTGTCACATGGGCTGGCCATCTTTTATGCTAATACCGTCTACCTCTCATTTAGAATATTGCATTTGTAAATTCCTAGGTGACAAGCTTGAAGATGACACGCCACCAAAAGCGGAAGATTGATGAAACACATGTAGAGGTATTGAGTTCTCATCTCATTTCCTGATCAATTGCATGCTTGGAAATGTATATAGTTAGTTCTGCAACCGTACCAGCTCTTACATTTGAACAAATTTATACGTGAAATATGCATTTTTCTGTGCTAAGCTGCTTATATGGATGAGCAGTACTATAAAAGGAACTGAACTATATCACGACCTTTCAAAAACGAAAGCCACTTCACAAGCAAAGAGAAAAATATTATTACTTATTTTTTTATTTGGTTTTGTGTGGTTTTCAGAGAGAAACTGACTCATGAAGTCTGATGAAGCATGTAGTTTGGTGATATTTACTGCATGGTCAATTTTATTAAAATCAAGTTAAAGCTGCACTAAATTTTCATGCTGATAATTGCATTCTGCTATGACAATCTCTGCATGCTCGATCACATGCATTTTATTAGGCTAATCTGCATATTTTGGTCAAACTATGCAGTTGCTGCTCTGCTAGCTTTGTCACAGATTTTGTATTGCTTCATTATAGGAGGGGCATGAGGAACTGGATGCTGCTAGCTTGCGAGAGCATGAGGAATTTACAAAAGTGAAAAATATAGCCACTATTGAGCTTGGAAGATATGAGATTGAGACTTGGTACTTCTCCCCATTCCCACCAGAATATAATGACTGTGTGAAGCTGTACTTCTGTGAATTTTGCCTCAATTTCATGAAGCTCAAAGAACAGCTTCAGAGGCATATGGTAAGCTGTGCCTCAAATACTGCTTCCGTTTTCCTTTTATATTTCTTTTCTTTATGGAGCGGGTGTTCTTTGGTTCACCTTGCTTTTTTCGAGAGGAGTACACATCTGATTAGTTTGAATAATTTCTTTTCTCTTCTGCTTGGCGGTCTCTGTTTTCTTTTTAGGATGTGTAGTTTGCTTCAACTGTTGTTTAGTTACATGTATTCTTATCAGCACCGTCTTATAGAAGAAATTTATGGTGCTTATTGAATTCCAAAAAAGGAAAATCAACATAAGGTGTGTTATCTCTGCACCATTATAACCCACTTTCTACCTTCTGAGGAGCCACAGCAACTGTTAAAATTTAATCTCATTCAGGTGTTGATTTTTTTTTTTTTTTTGTGCACGAAAGAAAAAATGAGTGGAAAAGAAAAGAAAAGCATCCCAATACATACAATTGTGCACGCCCATGTTAATATTTGCCTGAACATTTGGAGGTTTTTAAAGGTGATGCCACATTTAATGTTTAGTTGGGATGCATCCTTAGAAAACTTTTGAAAGATTTAGTTAAAACATTTTCGCTTCACATTTAAAGTCCATTCTATTTTATGAAATTTTAATTTTTAGATTTTCAATTTATTTGGTTTTCATATCCTTGTTTTTAGTTGGAATTTTTTTCCTGAAACCTGCCCCCCCTTCCCTGCATACTTATCCCCTTTAAGAAGTAAGTTTTAGGTTTACGTACTTGACCTGAACTATCTTATATACCTTTTCTCTGCTCCTTGTTCATGCAGAGGAAGTGTGACCTTAAGCACCCCCCTGGTGATGAGATATATAGAAGTGGTACTCTGTCAATGTTTGAGGTATATTTTTATCATGCTTATGTGGCTTTGCTATTACTAGTTAATAGTCATTATTTTATCTTGTTTCTGGCAATTGATTGTTATTACTAGTTAATAACCAATATTCGATTGTGTTTCTGGCAATTGATTTCAAAGATTCTTTTTTCTCTCAGCCTCGTTTCTCTGATAATTTTTAAGGCTTTGTTGATCTCTGCTGTTGAAGGGCTTCCTGTGTATTACAATCACCATTGGACTTATTTTTCTCCCTCTGCCCTTTTCTCTTTTTTCCGTTTCCATGAGATGAGATCTACAACAGTTCAATTTATGTATTGATCTCTCAGTGAAATTTTATCTTTGATTCATTTTAATGTGATTCTACTTAATCATTGCCTGACGTTGAATTTTTCTTGTTAATTTATTTGCTGATACACCTCATTTCAATGGTAAAGAAGGACACCATGCAATCATTTACCAGTCAATTACTAACTATAAACTAAATATAGTATTCTCCTATCTTACGCTGTCTCTGTGTGGGTACAGGCATGCGTGTTTATTGTTTTTTCATTTGAAACTTTCTTGTTTGCATTTTGTGGCTGCCTTCAACTATTACTTGTCTGTAAAACAGGTCGATGGCAAAAAGAACAAGATTTATGGGCAGAATCTCTGTTACCTGGCAAAATTGTTTCTTGATCACAAGACCCTCTATTATGATGTGGACTTGTTTCTGTTCTATGTTTTGTGTGAATGTGATGATCGAGGATGCCATATGGTTGGCTATTTTTCCAAGGTAATGCTATTGCTTTGTTGTCACTTGCTTTGGTTTTGAATGGGGATGTTTCAATTTCATATTCGACCTTCCAATGACTTTTGGACCATCTACTTTGTCTGTCCTAATATACCGAATATGGACTTTTTAAAACTTTACAAGAACACGGGTCATTTATCATGTAGTTTAGCTCCCTATTTAGTTATTTATTTAATAAAATAACTGCCCGTCCAAGTTATTCATAGATAGGCAGTGCAAATAGTTTTGTGACCTGAAGCTCCTAACTCTCACCTGTTTTCTTACTACTGTTGTCATACTTATTGGTTAGTATTTTTCAGTCTAACTTTATTAATACTTGTTACTACGTTTAATCATGAAGGAAAAACATTCAGAGGAATCTTATAATTTGGCGTGTATCCTCACCCTTCCACCCTACCAGAGGAAAGGCTATGGCAAATTTCTAATAGCATTCTGTAAGCTCTATATCTCTTTGGATATTGGGTCCTATCTATTTGTTTTAGTCTTGTATGAGCAAAATCCGTTATTATTTCAAACATGGAGCAGCATATGAACTTTCTAAGAAGGAGGGAAAAGTTGGCACACCTGAAAGACCCCTTTCTGACCTTGGGCTGCTGAGCTACCGAGGATATTGGACCAGGGTTCTGTTGGACATCTTGAAGAAGCATAAGGGTAATATATCTATCAAGGTAAGCATCCTTTGCATTTCTTTCACGGGATATACCTATTACTTTCTTTGCTCAAAAAGTGAGTCAGTTATTTCTATTAAAGAAATCAAGCAATTATGAAGTCAAGATGTTTTCTGAAAATAGAGTTCTTTCAAGGGATTGATTTTTCTATAACGTTGGTTGTTTACGATGCGGCATTGAATTCCTCTTATAAGGTGGCTATCGTTGAGTGATCTCCAAACTCAATCACTTATAATGCTGAAAAATCATAAGGAGCGAAAGATATTGAATTATTGATTAATTTACGACATTATTTATCTGATATTGCGCATGCTCATGATAAATACAAAGGCTATGCTACTGAATCGGATACTTTTCCACAGGAGCTGAGTGACATGACAGCCATCAAAGCTGAAGACATATTGACTACCCTTCAGAGCCTAGAATTGATCCAATACAGGAAAGGACAGCATGTTATATGTGCAGATCCGAAAGTGTTGGATCGCCATCTGAAAGCTGCTGGAAGAGGCGGTCTGGAGGTTGATGTTAGCAAATTGATTTGGACTCCTTATAAAGAACAGGGGTGATGGTGACAAATCATCAGAGACACTTATACTAATGTAACTTGAGCTTGTATGAATACAGATTCTAGGTTAGAGTTGTTAAATATGTATGTATTAGCATAAAAAAGGTTTGTTATGTACTTGAATTAGCACAGGAAGTTTAATAATCCCTATCCCTTGAAAGGAAAATCAAAAGACCTTCGTAGTTGCTTCTCATCGTGCCCATTTTGTTTCTCATGCCCAACGTTGTGGACTTGAGCTGGTTTGGCCGGGACGGCAGAGCTGGCCTGAGCACATGCCGTCGAGTCTACTCATGTTGGTAGTGAATAGGCGAGTCCCCTTGTGTATATGTATTATGTATGATGATTTGTGAATACTATGATTTCTGGCGCGGCGCGTAATTTCCATAATATCATGGCCATTCAATTGTGACATTGCGTTAGCCCTTGTCTGACATTACAATTGAAATTATTTAAAATCACGTTTTATGTAAGCGTAGATAAAACTTTCACGTTTATTTTGCATTTCATAAATTATGATTAAAAAGTATTTATAATCCATTCTAAGCGGTTTTTAATTATCAAACGTTGTTTGTGTTTATAAAAAAAACGATGCTACGAGTAATTTACAGCTCGTGAACTATGTATGGGGGCTATTAAAACGTGAAGACGCCCCCGTGTCAAAGCATGTGTACGGAAAGGGGTGGGTTCGTGGGGCCCATCATTCGTGTCTTGCCGCGCAGAACATGCGTGAACTTGCCGGCTCATACCCAACCTTCCACAGAGTTTTGGACTTCTGACGATGATTCTCTCCCATATTTTTTTTGAGTGTAGATAAAACTACTTTCACAAATTTATTTTATATTCTGTAAAATTATTTTTAAGAAAACTAATCCAAATGCCTCTCAATCAAAGTGATTTTCTCATGTTTGGCAATACTTTATAAAACGGTGCATAAACAAGGATCTTGCAAATAATATAAACGTGAGCACATGATTCATCAAATTGGGAGCTGTACGGGCTAACCGTTAACAATGTTCCCAAGGAAATTGCTGTATTGGGCTTGGCTCCCATTTGCTCCTCCCCCCCCCCCCCCCAAACAAAAAAAAGCAAGAAACAAAGAAGAGATGAAACATGTTTATAGGAAATGTTCAGCTGTTGAATTTTCTTCGCCACACACTCGTATTCACTAAAGCACGCATGATGTTGGGTGAACAATATTCTGGGGTTACTCTTCAACGAGTTTTCAACAGTTTTAAGTTTTCAATCCATGAATGTTTAGAAATATGTGTAAAATTTCATCACCCATCAGTTCGCGCAGATTTCCGACGTCTATGATTTTATCTGAACATTGCGCCCTCTAAGGGTTAAACTGCTCACTTTTCCGCATAACAAACGGCTTTCACTTCTAATTTCCATGAAACAGTGACGCTTCTAACGATTTCTACAATTTCCTCCATAAAGCATTTTCGAGATCCCCATTTCTATGTCCAGAAAACAGATCCATCTTACTACATTCTCGGTACAAAGCTCGTCACTTAAACAGGGACTAAAAGTTGACCTTGTGGTGCAAAGCTTGCCATTTACCCATTGAGTTTTCTGGTTAACCTGGGTTCAAGAGCCTCGATCTATGACCTAGTAGAGCTGAGTCACCATGACGCAGGTACTAATTCAACGAAGAAACTCTTTCAAACTAGAAGTTGAGCACCAAAATCATTTACTTTATGTTTAGAAAAAAATCCCACTCGATCAAAAAAAAAAAAATCGCATTTAATCATACGCTAGTAGGCTGTAGAAGATGCCTCGGATGATGAATGTGTTGAAGCTGAAGAGTTCTTAGGGCAACCCCACCTGATCTCCTTTTCCAAAGACTTTCCGCTCCCCTTTCTGCCTCCGATTTCTGTGCTCGCTTTACCACCGGCAATGGAGGGTCCATCTCTTCAATACTTACAGTAACACAACTCTTGTCTCTATTCCTATCATTCCTTGCCAAATCTCTGCGCTTACCACCACAACTTGTCGCCGTGTGAGCAGTATCAGGTGTGTTAGTGCTTAGATTCTTGGCGTAGAAAATCTTTCCGAGTTTGGAATACTTGACCAGAGCAGAGAAGGGCGTTGATGACGAGACGTTACCTTTACTGGTGAGGCTGATGAGCCCACGCGATTGCGTTGATGACGAGACGTTACATTTACTGTTGAGGCTGATGAACCCACGCGATTGCGAGGTAGTAGGTAACCCAACTACTTTGTTGTTCCTCTTCACTTGACCCATACAGCCGATTCTAGGGGACAAGGGATCGTCCGACAACGACGCCGTCCGGTTCCTCCACCGTGGAACAGTCACATCTTCGAGCATGGACGGCCTCGAACAGAGCATCGGCATGAATCTGCCTGTCTGATGATGATGAAACTTGTGGTAGTGATCATGACGACGATGCTGATAATCAGCCATACCGTTCCTCAGTTCCCAAAATTTCAGAGTGAAAGATCAAAGCGAGAGTAGAAGAACAGAGAGGGTGAGCAGGAAGGAAACTGATGAGAAGGATCAAGATAAGGACAAGAAAGACGAAGTCATTTCGGAGTTTACCTGGTATAGTGGGAGAGGTTTTTGAGTTTGTCAAGATTGATGAAGTAGATGGTGAAGTTTTACTTGGTCATGTGGGGGAATGATAAAGAAAGGAGAAAAATGATCGTTGGAAAAGGAGGAGTGCATTAGAAGGCTTGAGCACGGAGAGAAGACGGAAGAGAAGCGGGCAGGACCACTTGGTTGATTCACTGGTTTATTATATTATTGGAGTTTAGCGCAGACAAGATTTAGTTGAATACATTCATGAGAGATTTGAATCATCCTTTAGTTTGTCCCAACAACCAGATGATCATGCTTCAAACTTCTGCACATGTTGCTCCATAAATCTCTTGTTCATAATCCTTTACTCGATTACTGCAATGACATATTTTTCCTTTGTTAAATTTTAGGGAAAAAGACAGCAAAATGCACCTCCAACTCCAAAAGCCCAGAAACGTCCGCCCAATTCCACAAATCCCATTTTGGTACCATGAGACCAAATTGGGATTATTATGTAAAAGGAAAAGACCACATTGCCCTTCATTTTAAATATTATTTTTAAAATATCACAACCCCTACTGGCCGGCCGGTCACCGGACCTCCGGCAGCGGCGGTCACCGGAGCTCCGGCGACCAGCCGACAATTGGTCACCGGAGCTCCGGCGGTCGGAATTTTTTTTTTTTGAAAATTTTTACAACTTCAATATAACGGTTAATAACTTTTGTAATGCTATTCACAACTTCAGTATAGCAATTAACAACAGCTTTTCTGGAAAATTCAACAAACTCCGGCGACCAGAAACAATTATTTTGAAAATTTTTACAACTCCAATATAACCGTTAACAACTTTTGTAATGCCATTCACAACTTCACTATAGCAATTAACGACAGCTTTTCTGGGAAATTCAACAAACTCCGGCGATCAGAAACAATTTTTTTGAAAATTTTTACAACTTCAATATAACGGTTAACAACTTTTGTAATGCTATTCACAACTTCAGTATAGCAATTAACAACAGCTTTTCTGGAAAATTCAACAAACTCCGACGACCGGAAACAATTATTTTGAAAATTTTTACAATTCCAATATAACTGTTAACAACTTTTGTAATGCCATTCACAACTTCAATATAGCAATTAACAACAACTTTTCTGGGAAATTCAACAAACTTCGGCGACCGGAAATAATTTTTTTGAAAATTTTTACAACTTCAGTATAGCGGTTAACAACTTTTGTAACCCTATTAACAACTTCAGTATAGCGGTTAACAACAACAAACTCAAGCGACCGGAAAAAATTTTTTTGAAAATTTTTACAACTTCAATATAACGGTTAACAACTTTTGTAAGCCTATGAACAACTTCAGTATAGTGGTTAACAACAGGTTTTTGAGTTTGTTAAAGGCATTACTGAAGTTATAAAAAAGCCACTTTTTGAATTTTTCGAAAAACTTGTTAACTACTATATCAAAATTGTTAACCGTTATATTGGAGTTGTAAAAATTTTCAAAAAAACGTAATTGTTAACGTTATACTGAAGTTGAAAATTTTTACAACTCCAATATAACGGTTAACAACTTTTATAATGCTATTAACAACTTCAATATAGCAATTAACAACAAGTTTTCTAGGAAATTCAACAAACTCCGGCGACCGGAAATAATTTTTTTGAAAATTTTTACAACTTCAATATAGCGGTTAACAACTTTTGTAACCCTATTAACAACTTCAGTATAGCGGTTAACAACAGGTTTTTGAGTTTGTTAAAGGTATTACTGAAGTTATAAAAATGTCACTTTTTGAATTTAAAAACTTGTGAACTGCTATATCAAAGTTGTTAACCGTTATATTAGAGTTGTAAAAATTTAAAAAAAAACGTAATTGTGAACGTTATACTGAAGTTGAAAATTTTTCCAACTCTAATATAACCGTTAACAACTTTTGTAATGCCATTCACAACTTCAATATAGCAATTAACAACAGCTTTTCTGGGAAATTCAACAAACTCCGGCGACCGGAAACAATTTTTTTGAAAATTTTTACAACTTCAGTATAGCGGTTAACAACTTTTGTAACCCTATTAATAACTTCAGTATAGCGGTTAACAATAGGTTTTTGAGTTTGTTAAAGGCATTACTGAAGTTATAAAAATGTCACTTTTTGAATTTAAAAACTTGTTGTTAACTGCTATATCAAAGTTGTTAACCGTTATATTGAAGTTGTAAAAATTTTCAAAAAAACGTAATTGTGAACGTTATACTGAAGTTGAAAATTTTTACAACTCCAATATAACCGTTAACAACTTTTGTAATGCCATTCACAACTTCAATATAGCAATTAACAACAGCTTTTCTGGGAAATTCAACAAACTCCGGCGATCGGAAACAATTTTTTTGAAAATTTTTATAACTTCAGTATAGCGGTTAACAACTTTTGTAACCCTATTAACAACTTCAGTATAGCGGTTAACAACAGGTTTTTTCAACCGCTATACTGAAGTTATTAACCGCTATACTGAAGTTGTTAATAGGGTTACAAAAGTTGTTAACCGCTATACTGAAGTTGTAAAAATTTTCAAAAAAATTATTTCCGGTCGCCGGAGTTTGTTGAATTTCTCAGAAAAGCTGTTGTTAATTGCTATATTGAAGTTGTGAATGGCATTACAAAAGTTGTTAACGGTTATATTGAAGTTGTAAAAATTTTCAAAAAAATTGTTTCCGGTCGCCGGAGTTTGTTGAATTTCCCAGAAAAGCTGTTGTTAATTGCTATATTGGAGTTGTGAATGGCATTACAAAAGTTGTTAACGGTTATATTGAAGTTGTAAAAATTTTCAAAAAAATTGTTTCCGGTCGCCGGAGTTTGTTGAATTTCCCAGAAAAGCTGTTGTTAATTGCTATATTGAAGTTGTGAATGGCATTACAAAAGTTGTTAACGGTTATATTGGAGTTGTAAAAATTTTCAAAATAATTGTTTCCGGTCGCCGGAGTTTGTTGAATTTTCCAGAAAAGCTGTTGTTAATTGCTATACTGAAGTTGTGAATAGCATTACAAAAGTTGTTAACCGTTATATTGAAGTTGTAAAAATTTTCAAAAAAAAAAATTCCGACCGCCGGAGCTCCGGTGACCAATTGTCGGCTGGTCGCCGGAGCTCCGGTGACCGCCGCTGCCGGAGGTCCGGTGACCGGCCGGCCAGTAGGGGCTGTGATATTTTAAAAATAATATTTAAAATGAAGGGCAATGTGGTCTTTTCCTTTCACATAATAATCCCAATTTGGTCTCATGGTACCAAAATGGGATTTGTGGAATTGGGCGGACGTTTCTGGGCTTTTGGAGTTGGAGGTGCATTTTTCTGTCTTTTTCCCTAAATTTTACTCATTTTAATATTAGTCCAAACTGCAACTACCAACATCTGGGAATGAGGTTTCCGGGAAGTCAAAGGAGTCAAAGACATCAATTACGAACAGCGGCCTTGGCAATATAACCATGCCCTGTTATCCGCCAAAACGGAAAACCTCTGCCTCATCATATTCCCTGTCTAATCATACAAATCATATTATTTGCCTTTTCCTAAACAAAAGAGTCAATAATTAATGATGGGTTTCAGGCCAAAAAAATAATAATTAATAATGGGTTGCAAGAACATTTTTGTTGCGAGAGTCTTTTTCTACGCACAATTTTAAAGCAATATAATTAATACTATTTTTTATTTTTAATATTAGTATAAGATCTCATTTAATTTTTCCTTTGGTTCTCAATATAAGATTTTAATCTATTTTGTTTTTTATATTTATCTATTTTTTTAAAATAGTTCTTGTAATATGATAGTTCTAGTTATTATATTTGATTAGTAAAATATTTTTTTAAAAAATATCTATTTATTATAAATAATTAAATTAATTAAATTTTTTAATGTATTTAAATTAATCAACCAATCCTTATATTAAAAATAGAAGGTAGGATGTGATTTAGGGTATGTTTGGATTGGCGTTGGGCAAAACTGACTTTTAGCTCAACTAACTTTTGTAACTGAAGTTAGAGTATGTTTGGATAGGTGCTTTTGAAAAGTCAGTTGAAAAAGCTGAAAGTTGTTTGGATGATAAATGAAAAAGTTAGTTTAGTTGTAAAACGACTAAAAAGGGCATGAACTTTATTAAATAGTAGTTTTTGATTTTTTATGTTTTTAATGTGATAATAGGTTAAAAAAACATATAAAATTATTATGATAAAATATAAATAGTTTAATTGTGAAATTATGAAATAAAAATATTTGTGCTGAAAAAAATAAAAAAACACATTGGAAATAATTAATTAAATATACATAATGGACAAACATGAATATAAATTAAAATTCATTTAGTCTGTAATTAAAGTAAATGAAATAACATAACTAATTAGATAGTAAACTTTGCACAATTTGGTCTCTAATTGAGTCACGAACACGATTCATTTGTGCAGCAGATGTTAAACTTGACGAGGATGCCTCACCACTTGCATGATTATTTTCTTCATCTATTACACTTCCATGTTCAGCTTCTATAAAGCGATCATCAGTTGGAGAATTTTGCCTGATAAAATTATGGACAGCCATTGTTGCACAAACTATGCCGACCTGTGTTTGAAACTTGAATCTGGGCATATTGCTTAAGATTGCAAACCTATTCTTCCACACCCCAAAAGTTCTTTCAATAGTGGATCTCAAACTAGAATGATAATAATTGAAGGCCTCATTCTGATTTGTAAATCTTGGGTGACGATTAAAGTCTGGAAGGTGATAGCGCTCACGTCTGTACGGGCCAAGGTATCCCACTTGTGATGGATAACCAGCATCAACTAAATAATATTTTCCTAAAAAATCATGACGAACTTATATTGAGGTGAAAATAATACAAATGAAGCTGAATTTAAAAATATTTAATTTGGAAATCAAAGAAATATACCTTCAGGTGGATGAGGAAAATTCAGGGATGGAGTTGAGATAGCAGAATGAAAGACACGAGCATCATGTGCACTACCTTCCCAGCCCGCCAACACGAACGTGAAACACATATTCCAATCACATACGGCCATGACATTTTGACTAGGAAATCCCTTCCTATTGATATATTTGTCTTGCCTAGCTTGATTAACCTTACATCTTATGTGGGTACCATCAATTGCTCCAATTGCATCTCTAAAAAATGGGAAGTATCGTGGATCATTTGCTATTTTTGGGTGACAATAGGAAAATGTAGGATCAGTTGGCCTGATATTTTCTCGAGATAAATTGAGGCAAGCAGCTAACACTCGATGAAAATGCCGACTGACAGTTTCTCCTGAATGCTGAAACCTTTCCTGAATCATCCTATTACATTGGCCATGCGCAATTATATTCAAGAACATGGCAACAGATTCATGGACACCTATGTACTTAGTATTTTGTAACCCATGTTCAACCAATTTAGAACATAACCGATGGAATGTCTCTGTTTCCATTCGAAACATTTCCTTAGACCGTCCTTCATGCCCGTCTAAAAGTTCTTGAACCCACAAATAACCAGTTTGTTCACTAGTTCTACATGGTTGTTTGCACAGAAAAGGTGTCACATACTGACCCATTAACACACCTAGCTCTGATAATTGTGTTGTGTGTTCATGTAAAGCGGGAAGTAATTGAGACCATTCATCTCCCTCATCATCCTCCCAACCCTCGCCCCAACCCTCCGTTGAATCAGACATAATAGATGTGTGTTACTTGTGAATAGATAAATACTAAATATAAGTAAAATTTTCACAAAAAAGAAAAGAAAAGATAATACACAAATCGTCATTAAACTTTAACATAATAATTAAACATAGTCATGAAACACACATTAAACTTGGTCATTAAACATAGTCACGAAACACAAAACATTAAACCTAGTAATTAGATACATCGTCATAACACATAGCACATAATAGTACACTAAGGTAGAAAAACAGAAGTCATAACAAGTCTGCTGGCACAACTCAAGGATTCTTTGGTGCAGCATATGGCGGTGGATTTGCAGCATTGTGCTTCAACCAAGCCACTAATACCTCCCGATTTTCTCTCAGACCAGCATATATGTCCCTGAAAGTCTTGTTTGCCAGCAGATTATAACACATGACACAAAGATGAGTGTCACTAACAATTTCCTTCATACTCAGCAGATCAGTGGTCAGCTCGGTAGTGTTATCACTGTTGGCCAATTTGTTTACTGCCGCTGCTGTACTAATTGAAGCCTTCTCAATTGAGCTTATTGAATCTGCTATTCTTTTTGTTGCTGGCATTTTTTGTTTCTTGTACTTATCCAACCCTCCACCTCTCTTTCTCTTCCCTTGGCTCCTTGAACCAATAGGTATACTGGGTGTAGTGTTTGATGCGTTTGCAGTTAAATTGATGCCGTCCAAATCGTCCAAAACTCCTGCAGGGCGTTCAGTGTCAACACCTAAAAGGCCATCTTCACTGTCCCCTGAACCTTCTTCCCAATCCATGGTTAGTCGGTAATCATTTGACTGATCAGTCCTATGTGGCTCAGGCTGTGGCTCAGGCTGGGTTGAAGAAGGTGACCACATATCTTGTCCTGATGCCATAGTGCCCCTGAATAGAGTTTCTAATTCAGTCCGAAATTTTAACCCATGCTGCCTAAACTTTTTCGTATGCTGGATTTTCCTGCAAAGCCAAAAGTAAACAAAGGTTAAATTATTTTCAGAAGTCACTAACTGCTTAAAAATTAACAGAAGTTAGTTCATACCAGCTTCTTTCTCTCCCACCACTCATCAGATGCCACCACTGTGTTCCTTTCAGGGTCCCATCCTATGCCGGTCTCCTTTCCAATTAGCTGCTCAAATAGCTTCCACTCTTTCCTCAAATTATCCAATCTATTTTTCAGCTGTTTCTTCTCATATCCTCTCCCTGTCTTTTCATTGAATGTTTTATGAATGTTGTCCCAGCCTAGCTTTGTAAACGAGGATCCTTGACGATGTTTGTTAAAAACTTGGTCCATGCATATTTTGAGAAAAACACCAGTAGTGCTTACATCCCAATACGCTTTGCCTTTATCGTTACTCATTATTCTTGATGAAATTACATATGTATCAAATTCACAATAGATTTAGAATGAAGCAGTAACACACATGAATAAACCCACAATTAACAGTGTCTGCTTAAACTTTTTATTTAAAAACAATCAATCAATACATTTTCAAACTAATAGTGTTCATATGTGTTATCCACTTTATACGCCATAAGACAACCCAACCACATCCCTCTTCAATTCTAAATGAATTCCCTAAATAATAACTCCCACGTATTCTTAGAAAGATTATCAGGCTGATTTATCAAATACTACCAGCAAATCTATCAGATACTACCAAGACAAAAAAAATCAGCAAATTTATCAAATACTACCAGGACACAAAAATCAGCAAATTATCAGACACTACCAGCAAATTTATCAGATACTATTAGGACACACAAATCAGCAAATTTATCAGATACTACCAGGACACAAAAATAAACAAATTTATCAAATACTACCAAGACACAAAAATAAGCAAATTTATCAGATACTACCAGGACACATAAATTAGCAAATTTATCAGATACTACCAGGACACAAAGATTAGCAAATTTATCAGATACTATGGAGACACAAAAATCAGCAAATTATCAGATACTATCAGCACACAAAAATCAGTAAATTTAACAGATAATACCAGAGAATTAAACCCACAAACATACGGCAGATGAGTTCGAAGAACAATGAAGCAAAACGGTTGATCTGAAGCTGCGACCTTACCTGCGACCTGAAGCTCCGGGTTTGAAATAGGGCCAAGCGAAAGAGATCACGCAGGGAGAAGCGCCGACGCAGGGTAAATCAAGTGAAGCAGAACGAAGCTAACCACTTGCTTCTCGGCAGCCACGGTCAATCGAGTCGAGCGGGGCGAGCTCAATTAGAAGGACGATGAACCTCAACAGATCCGGTGAAGCAAACGCACTGAGGATGCTAGAAGGGGCGAGCTCGGTCGAACAACCTCAGGACCACACTGATCTGTAACAAATACTCCAACTGATCTCTGGCACAACCCACGGTGAACGAAGTGGCGAGCTCGGTCGGACAACCGGAGGACCACCTGAAATGGAAGAACAAAATGGGAGAGCGTTAGGGAGAAGAACAGAGCACCACGCTCCACGGTGTGGGAGAAAATGGAGAGAGTGAAGGAAGGAGAAGCACCGGCGACAATCACGGATGGAGAAGCGCCGGCGAGAAGGAGGGAGGGAGAGCGGTCGGTCACGGACTCACGGTGAAGCAGGAGGGAGGGAGACCGTGGAGAAGCTCTACGAAGGGAGACCGTGGAGAAGCTCTAGCGAATGGATTCGGGGGGAGGGAAAATGCAGGGAGGGTTACAACTGGTAGGTGGTATTTTTATGGATCTAATAATGACCCGCAACGGTAAATTTCAGTCTCAGACGCTCCAGAAGTAGCTCTCCTCAGCGTTGCCAACGTCCACCGTTTGCTTCAGAAGTCAGTTGGATAAGATATTGCAGCCAAACAACCATTTTCCTTTATTTCAGTTGCAAACGTTGGTTTCACAATTTTCTAGACACTTTCACCGTTTGAATCGGCAATCCAAACATACCCTTAGTGGTTAGTGGCCTGTACAATTTATTTCTTTAAAAGACGCCTTGTCTAAACTCGGCTTCCAGCACGATCCGCGGAAATTAAATTACGGCGGCGTCAAAATAGCGTGTTTTGAGGGAGTGGGGCCATCATTCATTTGTCGCACACAATGCACGTGTCTCACTTACGCCACTTACTCCCACCTTAACCCCATGTAACGGTTTAGACTTTTGGACTTTTGACCATCATTTTCTCAGTTTTCCCTTTTTTTTTAAAATTTTTTTGTCAAAATGATTTTCTCACAATTAAAAATAGGGAGAATCTAAAAAAAAATTTAAATTTTAAAATTTTAAGTCAGTCTTATTCACTACAATTTAATAACAACAACAACATGAGTAAGTGACAATATATTTTTATAGTCATTCCTAATTTAGGATTTTAAAATTTTAAAAGTATTTTTTTGAAACTTTTCCTTAGAGATCCTTTAGAAAATGTTGTTTACTTAATTATTGACACACTACATGAATAAAACTCGGGTCAAAGTTAAACAGAGATCTTTAAGCCCAGGCACTATGTCGTGCCAAGTAATTTTTTGCTTTTTTTCCATTTTATAAGGTATACACAATTCCCCCGAGGAAAAGGGGACGGAACATGTTTAGCGGGGCTGACATTGAATAATTTGGTGAAGCCAGAATGGGGAACCAATCACATGCACATCACGTGCGACAAAAATCGATTATATATGATGATGAGTTTGTTTGCGGCCGACAGCCATTGAATGTGGGCATGTGGGAGGCGCGTGGCGGCTCCTTTTGGTATCCTCTCGCATGTTTGGTTCTTAGGCTTATAAATTCAGCGAACACCTCCCATGTAGGATTGGACCTCCCACAGCGTAATTTGTTGTGTGTCATCCAATAATGAATTGGATTAATGGCAATGCCTTCATTATTTGGTGTCCCACAGAAAATGCAAATAACCTTTTCTAATTAACATCACTTCCGTCATATCCCCATGGTTTTATTAGGTGGGTTCTGAAGTCTCACATGAATTGTTTGCTGTTGCGTCAAGAAATCTCAGGAAAAACCACTCATGTGTTGGGAATCACCGTATAGAGTACCTAAGGCAGAAAATTATCAGAAGAGGATTTTGTTAAGAAAACTAAAAACTTATCCGCCTAGTCGTCGATCCTGTAAAGAAGCCAAAAGGCGCACACAAAGAAGCGTGGAAAAAGCACAGTAAAGTGGTGAAAAAGAGAGAATGATTTAAGAGTGAAGGGGAAGCTCCACGAGCATATTATTGCCGAAGGATGGCATGCTTGTGTGTGATAGAAAGTTCCGAGGTGGTAGGGTTTAGGCACCAGAAGCTTAACTAACGAATTGAGTTGCACAGAGAAGGCGGCGACTGGTGGGGTTCCATAACCAGCATTATTTGTTAAGGGAATAAAACTTGTGAAAAGAATTTAAAAGGAAGGAGACGAAGCTATGGCGGTGGTGTTTGTTATCACCTTTTAAGTTGTCACAGAGAGCATACACAAGGCTGTGTATGGAAGTGCTGTTCTCATTTCCCAACAAAATTCGAAGTGTAGATATTAAAACAAAACTCTCTGTGATGGAACATGGTTAGTTCATTGATGGCTGTTAATCAGATTTTGCTTCAGATGATGTAGTTTGTAAGGCATGGTGACCTTTGTTTTCTTGTGCTTAAAAGTTTCTGATTGAGAGAGTAGAGGGATCTCGCAAATCTGTTGGAAGCCCAGAAAACAGAGCATGTGCAGATTCCTGGTCAATCTCAAACTCAGCTTCATAAATCGTACGGGCTTTAACAGGAAATATGAGAGCAGGTCATTCACTGCTTGTAACTTCCATTTATGGTAAGTTGATGACACTTGGGTTTGGACAAACCGACAGCACAGCACAAACTGACAAGATACGAGATTGCGCATTAAAACGGTTAATTCTGACTCACAAATTATGCAACTACTATTTAATTATCATAGAATGATGATGTTACATTTGCAGTAACATAATGGGAAGAACTTTCCAAAACAACAAAAAGAAAATTTAGGACAGGAAGAAATTCATCAACCCATTCCGGACGCACACGGATCTCTCTCTGGGAGTCTCTCCTGGAGCCTGACACAACCAACCTGTTTTAAAGGTTTCTTGAAACCGAAGCCTCTTATGTAATCTCTTTTTCCTGTATAAACGAACAATTCAAACTCTTTCCGGATGGCCTATCGAGAATATAACCATCAAACTCAATAACAGATATCAATGATCCAAATGAATGATTGCAAATGTGAAGCTGTAAACTCAACAATGACGATGCTTCGGCCGGAGAGTTTACTGGTTGAATAACAGTTGAATCAAAACTCATCTTTTCAGAGAAGTCGACAATTTAGTTTTATATCATTCGGTAGTGGAGCAGAAACGGAGGTAAATAACTGCCACTTAAACTGACGGCAATAGATTGGGACATAACTAAACTAACGATAATACTAAGATGAGATTGGTAACAACGAAAGATTCTCAAGATCTCGTTCAACTACTTAATAACTATAAAATATAACTTTATAACAGTTCTTATTAAAAACAGATTCATAGATTTTTTTTTCCCGGGACAATGAAGGTATAATGCACCTGCATGTTCTCTTTGATGTGAACATTTGAGTCTCAATTGTGAAGCCTTTTGACATCAATTACATATAAATTATTTTGTCCCATTGAAACTTATTGGTGAAACAATTAATACATTGATTATCATTACAAAGAACAAAAGTCACATCTACGAAGAGGAATGTCGATAAATAAAATAAATTTAACCATAAAGAGAAACAAATATAAGACGAGAAAGAGAATTTCAAAAAGAAAAAAGAAGAAGAGGCCTATCCATATCCGCCGACTTCCAAGAGCAAGACAGAAGGTATGAACAGATCTGTAAATTCATAGTCATGCCGTTCAATTCCAGACTTGAACGAACAGCTTCAATGAAAATAATCAACCAGCCTTAGTTGGGGGTAAAATTTTCATTTCTGTATATTTGGTTGGATTCCTGCCTCAAAATGGCCTTGTTAGTTCCAGAGTCAAACGAACAATTAATCCTTCTTCCAACCACGCAAAACCCTTTGATGGAATCAGTTTAAGATAAAGCACTCCAAATAGCTCCTTCCCCTTCACCACATTTTTGGTGGACATATTTAATCTTCTCCACTGATTTGCAGATTCCACTGCAGCTCCAATCAAATGAAGCAACGCATGTGTTGCCTGCCTGCGCCTTCCACTCACAGTCTATACAAAAGCATTAATCCTATATGAGATCCACACCCAGAAGAACCTTTGGTAGTTCTTGAGAGCTGAAATAATCAGATACATCTAACTTACCTGGCGGAGTCCCACAGCACATACTGCGGTCATCAATGTGCTCAACTTCGAGACCAATGAACCATGCCCCAAGCGAGACGTCTTCATTAGCATACTTGTGTAATATTGGCCTGCACTCACAATT